ACAGGCGGCCCGGCTTCCTCGCGGGACGTCCGCTGGCCGCCGCGGGTTGAGTCAGTTCCCGTTCTCCGTTCCCGCCGATGACGCGACAGCGAGAGTGGCCACGCAAGAGGTTGGATCGGCGCTCGCGGTTATTTCAAGTGGCGCCGCGCTCAGCTCACGGCCAGAGTCCCACACCCCCTTCTCCCCCCACTGGCCCATGGCCCTTCTCTCCCCTCCCTCCCTCTATCTCCTCGCCCCCCACCCACCCATCCCCTCCCCCGCGCCCTCCCCCCCCCCTCTCTCCCGCCCCCCTACTCCCTTCCTCCCTTCCCTCCCCCATCCCGTGTTTCAATCCTCCGATCCGTTCCTTCTCTGGTCCGTCCCCTTGTCGCCCCATGGGGGCAGGTGGGGCTCACGTCGCATCCGCGCGCGCGCGGGCGAGTTTCAATGGCGGGGGAGACGGACTACGAGGAGTGGCCCGGCTGGACCTGGCTCAACGCGGGCGCGCTTGGGGGGGAGGCTTGCTGGAAGGAGGGGGGAATGGGGGAGGGGGAGGGATGAGATAGAGGAGGGGGGGAGGGGATGGGGGGAAGAGGAGGAAGGAGGAGGAGGAGGAGGAGTAAGAGGAGGAGTGCGACCGCCACCGACAGCAAGCGGACAACCCCAACGCGATCCCGCCGTCAGCGTGATCGCCGTCAACTTCGATGCCCACCACCATGCAGACGCGCAGGCCAGTGGCACGGGCCAGCCTCACCAGAGGGGCAGCTGCCCACCCCACCTCCCGAGGCCAAGGGCTACGAGGCGAACGCCAGCCTCATGCCCAGGCAGGGCTTGCTTCGCGGAGGCCTGTCAGTGCGTCGCCCTCCCTGCCATTCCTGCTCACAGGCGACCGACACTGACATCCACCAACGTTGTTCCAAGACGCCTACACCGCCGTTCACACAATCGCCCCCAACGCCTACACCTGACCCCTGCCTGCACGATTCTCTCACCAAGCTGCAGCGCTCATGGTCCACGGCAGAAGTAGCAGCAGCTGGTTCACTTCGTCCTCACTTGCGGCACGCGACATCACCACTCCAGCATTACGGTCTCTTTCTGCTACGTTAAGACACCACATTCCCTCAGCTGGCACACGCATTCGGCTACACCCTCGAAATGTACATACGCCGCAGTGGGCCCGCGGTAAGACAGAGTTCCGAAACCCGGCGGGGTTTTCTCTCCCGCAGGACTCCCGCAGGAAATTTCATGCGGCGTTTAGTATCGTTGCGCGGCGACTTCTCCAACAGCAATGAGGGCGCCATTGTATGCAGTGGGTCCGCAGTCATACAGGGCGCCAACTACCGCCGCGGTTTTCTCACCCACGGGCAACTTGCAAGGACGCAACAGGGCCAACGCGATGCCGCAGCGGATTCGTGGTAATACAGGGCTCCCCGAACCGCCACGGCTTTGTCACCCATAGCATGCGACTTTACCAGACGTAGCTGCAGCGAGGCGGATGCCCAGCTACAATGGAAGCAACCCGAATATAACCAGAAATTGGTGGGAACAACCCATTTCCAAAGCTGGATATAGCTCTATCTTGCACCTCATTGGTGGTGGCCGTTAATCGCCAGCACAGCGCTGTGGCTTCGGAGGCTACAACACGAAGAGCCAACTATCCCGATGGCCCTGCGGGGGCCCCTCACCCAAACTCACTCCTGTTAATGCCCCGCCCCCCCCCGCTCCCGCTGCTCGCACCACTCACCTTCACCTCCCTGTTCCTGTGGCGGGGGATCGGGCGGGCCGCCGCCGGCCGCCATGGCAGTGGCCACGGAGGCCGCGGACACCGAGCCACGCCTCAAGCAACTATGACGATCTCGCACCATATCTCACGCTTCCTGCAGTTGTCCCTGTTTTTCTCCCTTCGCCATCCATACGTCGCACCGCCCCGCAAGCCATTACGGTTCCCCGCCCGATCGCTCACTGCACCGCCGTGCCTACGTTGCCCTGCGGCCGGTCTTTAGAACACCCCCCAATAGTTAGAAATGTATGACCCGTCCAGCGACTTGATTGACGGACTGGGGCCCCACCAATAGTGGAAAATGATGTCTTATCCGCGACAACCGCCGCACATCAACGACGACGACGATTACGATTACGACTACGAGTAGTTAGCTACCACGATTACTGTTACGACTGGGAATGCGACTACGCCGACTAGTAGTACTAAAGCGATCGAGGTTCGTATTACAATCGTCTTACGATCGTAGTCAGACAGATCACGTTTGTGGAGCAGCCCATGTGGCCTCGTTCACTTGGAGAAAAAACAACCAACATTATCTCGCCCGACGAACATTAGAGGGCATCCCTCTGCCACAGCGAGAAAGACGAAAGGGAAACGAAGGAGAGGACGAGGAGAATGAGGAAAGGGGAAAGAGGAGGAGGATGAGGAAAAGGAGGAACAGGAGGAGGAGGGGATGTTGAGGGAAGGAGGACCTGGAGGAGGAGGAGCAGTAGCAGGAGTTGGAGGAGGGGCGGGTTTAATCCCCGCCAAGAGAAACACGGGAGGGGGGCAAGAAGTAAAGACATGTTAGTATTGCGTCCCCTACCTAATACCCGTCCTACCTTGCAGCTTTAGCCTTTTTCCGTTGCAGGCACTCACCCATCATGCCCACCCCCATCCCTTGAGTATCAGCCGCTTCATCGCACACGCGCTGCTAGGGCTGAGCCACGGACCCACCCAGGAGACCACCAGCATCGGTGCCGCATGCTGTGCAGCTGCGCAGCATTCAGCTCTATGTTGGGTGCGGGCGTGGCAGGTTGTGGGGAAGGGCGCAGCGCAAAACACTTCCCGCGCGGCCGCCGCCACGGAGGGAGCAAACACTTCCTCCTCCTCCTCCTCCTCCTCCTCCTCCTCCTCCTCCTCCTCCTCCTCCTCCTCCGCCCCCACGCCCAGTGGAACTCCCCAGGCGGCCACTGGAACCCATCCTCGGGAGTCCTCTGCGCCTGCCTCGGCGGGCGGGGGTCCCCCCTGTGGGTGGGAGTGTGGGCCGCCCGTGGATTTTCTCCTGCGGGCGGTGCGGGGGGCCCTCGCGCCTTCCCGGCGGTTTGGGCGAGTGTTCAGTCGGGCCTGACCTCTGCAGGGGGGATGCTCAAACATAGTCCAAAAATAGTCTGGGGACGAGTGGTGGACCATCTTTGAGAATTCGGGTGGCATGTTGGGGTGTATTGTTGTTCGTCCAAAATCCCTCTGTAGGGGGACATGCCCGAATTCGGGCGAGCGTGGCCGTCACCGCACGTCTTGTCCACCGCCAGCCGACGCCGCGCGCGCCGCCCACGCCAGCCCGACGCGGTGTTTCCCCCCACCTCGCCTCCTTCTTGCAGGGATGCATCCTCGTCGCCGCGCCGTCCCTCCCCCCACCTCGAAGGTTGATAGTCCTCCTGCCCTGCCACGTCGATTAAGGAATTGGCCGTTTTCGGTTCGCGGGAGGGCGTCGCGGCCGTCATTTTTGCGGGTCCAGGTCCATCGGCTTTGGTCCTAGGCCGTTTTCACGAAGGGGAGGTTTACGAAAGGGAGGTTCTGTTCACCGCCGACCACCCCACCCCCAGGGCGGCCAGAGGACCTGGCCACTCCTCCCCTGGGTGGGCCAGCCCGTCGCGTTTTCCCAGATCCCACTCCGCCCCGTGGGTGGGCCAGGTCTGATCCCCCCCCAGGGGCAACGGCCCCTGGGGGGGCGGGGGGGGGCAGCGCCCACGAGACAGCAGCGGCGCTACAAGTCCTGAGTCCTGAGGAGGAGGGTGGAAGAGGGAGGAGGGAGGACAAAGTGGCGGAAATGGGGGGAGGGGGGGGGAGGGAGGGCCTTGCAGGCGCAAGCGAACCGCCGAGTCGGTTCGGGGAGATCCGTGCGCGATCCGAATGCGCGACTCGGTCCAGCTCAAGAATGTAATTGGCCATTGCCCAAGGGAGGGGGACATCACCCCGACCCCCAGTGGTGTGGTTTATTGAGACGTCCTAGGCGTGTGCTCACAGTCCTCTCCTGTTCAACTCCGTCTTTGAGTGTGTCTACTAAAGGGGTTCGTCTGTATGGGGTGTTTATTTTGAAGGTGGTTATTCTGGCTTCTACCTGCGCCCTGCGATTTGAGGGTACCGAGCCCCGTCCTCCTTACCTATGCACCACAATTGCGGACAAGAGTGACAGGGGAAACCGACCATGGTGCGGAGAATCCAGGGTTTGAGCGCTGACGTAACGGGGCCATTGTCCGCGGTTGCCGGGCGCAGGGTTCCTCTTGTTCTTCATCTTCGAGATCTCCATACGCATCGTGGCCGAG